GCGCCGGGCCATCTTCCCAGCCACTCCTCCCGAAGCCTGTGGCGCTGCATGGGTTTGTTGTGGCCCAAGTGCAGGACCTGGCACTTGGCCTTGTTGAAACTCATACCATTGGCCTCAGTCCACCGACCCAGCCTGTCCAGACACCTCTGTAGAGCCTTCATACTCTCAAGCAGATCAACACTCCTGCCCAACTTAATGTCATCTGCAAACTTACTGAGAGTGCCTTCAATCCCCTCATCCAGGTTGTTGATAAAGATATTAAAGAGAACCAGCCCCAGTACCAAGCCCTGGGGCACACCAGTTGTGACTGGCCACCAACTGAATTTAAATCCATTCACCACCACTCTCTGGGCACGGCCTTCCACCCAGTTTTTACCCAGCAAAGCATACACCCATCCAAGCCATGAGCAGCCAGTTTCTCCAGGAGAATGCTGTGGGAAATGGTGTTAAAGGCTGTACTGAAGTTCAGCCTCTCCCCCATCCACTGTCTGTCCTGTTGTCCTGCTAAGATGTGAACTAAAGCTTTTGGCCTGCATATTCTTACACTGAGGACTATCAGAACAGACTCTATTTTAATAATTACTTCAGAAGACCAAGCCTGACCCCATGGCTTGGTTCACTGCCTTCTATAGCATTGGGACCATCGGGCCTGTGGTTATAAATCATAAGCCACTGAGAAAATCCCCTTAATGTCTTCCTGCAGTCAGAGCAAGCTATGTCAGGGACAGTGTTTTAAAAGTAACTATAAAATGATGACAATCAGTATGTATTTAAGCACGTAGCAACATATTTGTGAATGAGAGACACTGCAAACCACCAATATATAGCTACTTTACAGCAATTAGCATCCACTCAGTCCTCTTTTTTTTTTTTCAAAAGAGATCTAAAAAGTAAAATGTGTGTTTGAGCTGCACAATAACAGATTTATTTGTTCAGAGACCTGCAAATAGTCTAGCTTTACACTGTTTAATACATTTCAGGTAATGCTACGTAATTAGATTCTGAGTGATGATGCACACATCAGTTTCTCTGTCTCATCTAGTCCTCTGTGGCATCCCATGTTCTTCTGACACTGGAGAGATTCCATTTCCCCATTCCTAATTTGTCTGTTTTAACTACATTTTCCTTGTTGATTTTACGCCAAAATATCTGAAGTCATCAGCTAAATATTTTGCTATCCAGGGCAGTGTTTATTCTAAAAATAGACATGCCAAACATTATTATAAGAGTAAAATGAACACATTTTTTAAGGAAATAAACCCTCCTCTCCATAATTATGGCTCAATGCATTGAACTCCCAAGTTTTATAAGTGACATTCTGAGGAAAATAAAAACCTTACCTCCTCCTCCTCAAAGAGGATGAGCCGGACCAGCACAATGTGAATTGCATTGCCAATGCTTGGATCGTGGAACAACCCTGTGACCTGTGCCAGAGCCAGGAGGTATGAGATTAACTGATTCCTCTATAGAAGAAGAGGACTTCAGAGAGAAAATACGACATTTACTTCAAGCGCGCTGTTCATCTTGGGGTGGGGGTGTTGTTTTATTTTTTAAATCCTCAACGCACTTCATTGGAAGTTTACTGAAATGCAACAAATGTTAGAACTACCGCAAGGGGTAGCTCTGCCAAATAAGTGATGACACAGGACTTGGAAAAACTTAGTAAGCTAAAGAGCAAAAGCATACCCAAGATTATTTTATGTCCATTTCCCTTTCAAGAACTGCAGAGTTCTTAAAAAACACTACCAGAAAAGAACGCAAATAATACTGATGGAGAGGTCCCCTCAGTGTGCAAAAAACCTAGCATATCAAATTCTCTGGTTTTGATTTGATAGGAATCAGCTTCTGCCACAACAAAGCAAAAATTAGTTAGCACTAGGCAAAGAGAAATAAGTTAAATGACGGATACTCTTGTGTTTTCACAGCACAGAAGAGGCTAAGAATAAAAGCAAAGATAATGAATCCATTAAAAAAAAATCCACATTAAAAAGAGCAAGAACTGAATTCAGCAAAAATTTCACCGCAATAAAATGTCATAAACATCTTCGCAATGCTGAATTAGGCAGGAGGAAAGGGAATCAGAGCAGTAAATAGTCATAATCTATCTATATGTGAGCTATGCCATATATCACAAGAAATATGAATGGACAAAATGGATTGTGTTTGGGTCAAAACTGTTTTGGAGAAGACCATTAAAGGAGAAATTAAGAAGAAATTGTGTTTACAAAGGTCTGATTTTGATATGGGTGTTTTTCAAGGTATTAGGCTGAAAATTGAATCCTTGTGAGTAACCCTAACATCTCAGGTACAGACTGCAGAGAAAATGTCAAGACTTGTTTGTTCCTGAATCTCATCATGACAGGGTTTTATTCCACGTATTTTCCCTGTGTGGACAAAACCTCACATGCTCAAATCAGCTTTGTGTCTGTTTAATCAGGCTCACTGCCTCAGTAGCTAACCAGACTGCTTGGGGCACAGTCAGAGCATACTGCAGAAACACAAGGGACAGATTGGTTACCATGGCTAGAATTACACTGTGATTAATTTCACATATATTACACATGTACCATGATAATGACATAGAAGACATCCTCAATACACTCTCCAAGGTCAATATCTACTATGATACAGACAACAACAGAAGACATATCTGTAGGCAGTGCCATGAAACGCTATTGCTTTTCCCAGATTACATTTTGAAACTTGCCACACAGGAAAACATTGGAAGTTAAACTTTCCTCTTTTTTTCAACGTGGACTTCGTATTATAGGCAGTATACTTAGCAGTGAAAACAGCTGTACTGGTTTTAACTGGGACAGAGTTAATTTTTGTTGTCATAGCTCATATGGTGCTGTTTGGATTTGTGACTGAAACAGCAAGACACTGATATTTTAGCTCTTGCTAACTTACTACAACTTCCAGTGGGCTCCTGTGTGCCTTTCTCACCCACAGACATGGGAATGAATCCATATGCTTAAAACTGTAGAATTTCTCTCTGCTGCTGTACCTACCAATCTGAAATCACCAATGAGAAACAGGTTCCAGGGGAAACAGGGAATTTCAGTGGAAAGAAAATTAGTGCTAGCATTTATAGCTATGAATTTTTTTTCACTTAAAATCCTCAGAAAAGTTATGCCTATGCAAAACGTAAGGTAAAAAATGCTTTAAAGTACAGAGTTTCAATGAATGTATATGAATGATAATACATTTCTTTCAGAGAATGTTACAGATTTGTTTCAAGGTGATCAATAACAAAATCAACTTAAAATTTGCTTCATTCACCTATGTAAAAAAGGGAAATATCATACCTACCATATTCATTATAGTGAGGATATATGATTCCACATGATGACTTCCATGATATTCAACCATCTTACTGTCTGCAACCACAAGTGTCTCCACCCATCGCTCCTTGCTCACGGAGCGTCGAGAAACCTTTCTGACAGCCATATGATTTTGTTGCCATCTCTCCCTCCGCTGCTGCTGCTGTTTGAAGAAGCTGAAGGTATCTGGAAGAGTAAGAAGCAACAATGCCTTGAAAATATTTTCAAGCTTGATTTGAAGTACATGGCTGTAGCATTTGCAGACAGAAAGGTAGTATCACAGAATCACAGAATCTTATAGGTTGGAAGGGACTTCTGGCTGCCATCGACTTGACCCCAAGTGGGACCAACTCCAAAGTGACACCAGGCTGCTGAGGGCCCTGTCCAGTAAAGTTCTGAATATACCTCCAGATGGATTAAGCATGCATCCAATAGTTACTCCTACTCAAATGTGAGGGATTAAGGTGCGAGACAGAGCCAAGCTATTAAAAATGAATTAGGATTGCTATTTTCAAGGAATTTCTCTTCTCCGGTTTGGCTCCAAACTCTCTAATGACACCGGTTCATAGTTTAAGATAAAGGATCTGCTTTCTCCACAGGTAGCTCCTACTCTCAGCAGTACAGAACATTAAACCCAGTGCTTTGGCACATCCATGAACCATTTGTTCTGTGCATGGAAAATATTCCTGAAGAGTAGGAACACTTCACCAGTAGGTGTCCTCTAAATACCAGCCGGGCAGACCTTCGGGCTCCTCAGCTGCTGTCATCTTGTCTGACTGACAGGTGAGATGTGCTTAGCACTTCCACTATAATTTTGGGATCTGTGTATCAGGAAGGCGTATCTCCTCTGTTGCTAGCATCCTTGCACTGCGCTCAGTGGGGCTAATTCCACTCATTCTAGCTTTGAACACCAGCTGACTGTGTTACCATGGAAATACCGGGAATGTAAATACCCCTCAGCCTGGAAAAGAACTGGCCTGAGAGATGCCAGTTTGACAACAATTGGTGGCATTCTTCCAACCTAGAAGCCAAAGAAACACTTCTAAAGTGCTGGGATTCCCTTAGTCTTAGGAAGGATCAGGAGCACTTGTTGCTGTTACAGATACTGCGATAGTCCTTTGGCATCTCAGTCACAGAAGAGAATGTTCTTATTCCAGATGTGGCAAATTCATAGACCAGAATGACAGCTCCTGCTTCAAAGTGGTTACAGCCTGCCCAGCATAAGCCCCCCTACTGCATGGCTGGGGACAGTTATCCAGCATTACATCCATCTCCCAGCACTACCAAGTGTTGAGGGACAGTTACCCAGACTACTCTTCCCTTGAAAATGGGATGACCTGGCAGCTAGGTCCCAAATCTTGTGTTCATGCCTGCAGAAGATCTGTTATGCCTTTGTCATAAGTGCACTGTTTGCCCTTTAGAAGACCTAAGTTCAGCAAGAATGTATCACAGTGTCTTGTGTGTCTACAAAGTGTGGCACCATTGGACTATTTATGATATGTATAATACATCTTCCAGTGTAAAAGGTGATCGATACCCTTGGTTTACTGTATACGTGCAACAGAAAATGTATGGGTTTTTAGAAATGGGTTCTCCGAGGTCAGTCCAAAAGACGCCTAGAAAAAGAAATGCTGGTACTGGTAACACATTATGTGCAAAACTGAAATATGTCATATTAATAATTAAAACTACACCAGCCAAATTACTCATTCAGAACCAAGCTGCAAAGCACGGCAGCTCCACTAGTTGACACACGCTATGACCAGTTAGCACAGCACTGCAGTACCAGTTCAGCATTTCAGCCAACAGCAGGCACATACCACTGAGAAGCACACAAACCTACAAACCTATCCCAGGTTCATCCTGCCAGATGTACCTTCCTGGACCACCATTTAAAGTACACTGTATAAAGCTGTGTTAGTACACTAAGCAGCATGTCATATATTCTATACTGTAGATTTAGAATATAATAAATAAATAAATATAATAAATAAATACATAAAAATAGTTGCAACTAGAGTTTTTTTGCATGAACTGGCATTTGCATTTTAAAAGATGCTGAAAATACTACCTGTGAAGGACAAAGAACCATAAAAATTTTGTCCTGCTTGGCAAGGCAAACAGCATAAAAAAATAACTGAATGTAAGAGAAGCTTGAATAAATGTAAATAAATTCCAATAAACATGTAAGCTTCTAATTTTTAATATCCATACACTGTCACAATAAAGAGCCCAAGAATATCAATTTCCCTTGTACCAACCCAAACCACTTGCCAGTTTCATCTTGTGCAGCCACACAAACAGACTCTGTCCTGTAGATATGTAAACTGGTAAAAAAAAAAAGTTAGTCAATAAAGAAAGTTGCCTTTCCAACAAGCCAAGGGACTCGAAGAAAGGCACACATTTTTCTATCTTAATCTTGAGGAATGAGCTGCATGGGAAAATAGTTTCTTGTCTACATTCAAGAATATAAATTGTGAGTAAAGACAAAGAAATGGAAGTAGGTGGTTATTTTGGTATTGTTTGTGTGGGGTTTGTTGGGTTTCATTTTAAAAGAAGGGAAATGGACTGTCACTGCTATAATCTCTACCCTAACCCCACTAACCCAGGCTGCAGCATCGCCCCTGCTGATTCCCTCAATCTTTGCTCAGTTACTGCAATAGTCGCCTCTATCAGGGGGCTATTTATAAGCTGCATTCATTAGTCTCTCTTGTACCTTCACATGGTTTTCAGCATTCTTCTTTCCATGAAGCACAGTTCTCAGTATCTACATTTTTAAGGCAGTTGTGCTCAGAAAAACCTTCCCCCCAGCTATCTGAACAAAAGTTCTGTTCAGACTGCTGGTTAAGTGATTTTTTAATGCCCAAATAAAACACCATACCAGCTGTCAGGCTTTGTATTCACATCTAGCAAAGAGTTTTGTTTATTGTCTGCACAGGTGATAGCATTGAAGATAAAAATGTTTAAAGCCACACAGACTGCAATGGTGAACAACCTTCAGGGAAAAGCCTGGAGTCTTGGTTAAGCATGAGGCTACGTACTGCAGGAAAATCTCAGAAGAGATTTGAGTCATGAAAATTAATGCCAGGTAGAAGAGGATTCTGCAGACAAAACCCTCTGCTCAGTGACTGATGCCGTCCAGTGCTGGGACCTAACCCGGAAGGGTGTGCCTAAGGACTGGATCCCTGCTGTGTTAAGTCTCCTGGCAGTTTTTTTAGTTAGATGAAGCAGATAGGGAGAACCTCTTGGAGCTACACTAACATACAGGCAGCTATAAAGCATGGTTCTGCTTCTACTTTTATATCTCTCCAAATGAGATTTTTCATTTTTTCAGCTTTTCATTCTAAAGTAAAATGTTCTCACCTTGCTTTTACCTTAAATTACTAAAGTCTTGCAAAGGATTTCACATGAGCTGAGAAATCCCAGACGCCCTGTTGTCTAGGAATGGAAATCTTGACCAGGAGCCCACCAGTTCAGGAACAGTCAAGAAGTGATGGAGGGTTTGAACCTAGTAACATACAGTGCTGTCTGAGAAAAGCCTGCCTCCCCATACTCTTCCACCATAACTGCTGAGGAGAGCACTCTCCACAAGTAGCAGAAGAGAGAAAGGGAGTACTTGAACCCTGAGGGTTTCCATGTATTTTTGAGAAAGATGTAACACAGGTAGGCTTAGTGCTGGAGTCCTTAGGAACAGAAATGAAGGTTGTGCTGAAAGGACACCCAGGATAGCCTAAGACTAAACAAAAAGAAGGCTGGTAAAAGATTCAGCTAACAAACTGCATGAAATTCAAGCAGCAATACTCAAAAGTTTCTCTCTGTTGTGAGGGACAATTTTGCAGACGTGAGGCTTTTATTAGAAAACCTGATTCAGCCAAATGAGTCACATACTATCTTCCATAAGTCATATGTGATATCCAGCCATATCACTGCATAACCAGGAGAAATGGTGTAGACAACAACATTTCATCAACTTCTAGTTAGAAATGGCTGATGAATTTCAGCAAAAGGGTCAGTTTTTAAAATCAAAATCCAAGTTGTTTTCAGAGAAGAAAAAAAAGTCCCCTGAAACTACCCACACAAATCCCACCTGACTAATTCAACAACATATAGGACCCCTAACTCTCAACTACAAGGAAAAATTTTGAGTTAACTGTAAGTCTCAACTACATATGGAAAAACAGTATTATACAAACTTCTCCAGTACAGGTTAGAGCTGCATGGCTTCTGTGTGGGAAAGAAAAGTTATATTCTCTCTTTTAGCAAATAAATTTCATTTTTCATTAGGTGACAACAGAACTATGTCATCATTAGCCAATCCCTATTAAGAAAGAGCTTTTCAGTCTTTAACAAGTAATATCAATAGTCTCACTACAAAAAATGTTTAAGTTATTCACTTTGAAGAGCTCATCCACTCAAAAAGCTGCTTGCTTAGGGTTTTTTCTTAATTTCTGCTTTTTTTCCCCCAAAATGCCCTTAAAGAACAAATATGACCCAATTCACTTGAAGGCATTATGTGAGATTTTCATATGAAAGGACTATTTTTTTCACCATTGTTTCCTGCAGGTGTTGCTCAAGGAAGAGTGCAATACAAGGGGACCTCAAAGTGCTAACTGCACAGAGCGACCTTTCAACACCTTTGGAGATACACAGGGCTTTGAAGAAGAAATGTGAAAATGTCTGGAAATTCACAGAAGAGAAAAATGCAGCCTACGACTGAAGGCTGTCAGACAAAATATAGTAGTACTGATTTGTGTCTTCACTTTCTATCCTCACCTCCTTTCTCTCTGCGCAAGAGCTCTTTCATTTTTACCACTCTGTATTCTTCACAGTCAAAATGCTACATCTCCAGATATGAAGCATGAAGGATACTAGGGATGCTAGACTAATAAAACCCACACTGTTCTGAACCTGCTACATTATGATTTTTCCTATAACCTTCACTTCGTCTTTGTTCTAAGACGTGCCTTTAGTTTAAGTATTACAGTTTTGGGATGAGTTCTTCAAGAGGTCAGTAAACTCTGTTAGAGTCATTGTACGAGGGGAAATGAATAAACATATTAAATCATCATTAATAGCACTAACCTAGCACTAAAAAGTATACACAAGTCCAACCATAGACTAAATAAAGGAAAGGCTGAGGAGTGACTTGGCCAATAAGAATTAGAAGGCTAGTAAGGCAGAAGAAA